TTTATAAATGTATATAATATTATGAATAGTTAATGGCACATGATGTCAGTTTTTTTTCTTTTCTAAACTTTCTGTTTTCTCACTCTGTTGATGCCAGATCCAGTTGGGACCAGTTGGGACCTGGAGAGAGACAGATCCAAACATGAGAAACTGACGAGACTTAATTTTGAAGTGAAGACTCCTGTAATGTGATCTTTAGCTGGTGGATAAATTGGTCACCTAACCCACATCCCCCAAGTTAGACAGTCATGACATAAAACTATGACACATTGCTCCCTATCAGTTTACATTTTAGTCATTTAGCAGACGCTCTTATCCAGAGCGTGAGTCCATCATACACTGGCTGCCTGGAATGGACTGATGTCCGTCCATGTTGCCTTGAGGGGAAGTATGTAGCCTACAATGTACAATGTAGCCTACAATAGCTTAGCAGTGTTCTACCCATGAGTAGGCCCTTGGCCATACATTGTGACGTAGCACCACTACCATGAGAAGCCCCTAACACTCAATCTCCTCCCCCTCAGCCAGAGGTAATGGCTCCAGCATGCCACTCCAGTCTGCTCCACTGTGATTGTACGGATGATTTAGCACTTACGGTAATGGCAGTAGCAGAGCATATTTTAGGAACAACTTAGAGATAGCTTTTAGCAACACCACTGAGTCATTTCCTATTAGCCTCATACACACACGCACACTTACACACACACACACACAATGAAATAAAAGACTACATAAGAATACGTACTATCCTCTCTCCCGGTGATTCTGGAAAATCCATTTCCATATTTTGTCTTCTGTTGACTGTGTGGACGAATGCTGGCCTGTTTGATGTGCTCAGAGCTGCAGCACAGATGTCACAGTTTCAGCTATGCTGGACGTCATCTCACTGACGCTTCTCGGAAAACAGAAAAAACACCATGTGCAGTGCACCACCTCTAAAATTAGAGTGCGGCACATGAAGAAGGAAAGCAACGAAAAGAAAGAAAGACTCACAAGTGACCACCATTCCTCCCCGCATCTCTGCATTTTAGCGTCCCGCCCTGCCTGGCACGAGGCCAGGGCAGAGATCTCCCATAGCGACGGACAGAGCACTTCGCTGCATCAAAGGTGCACGGCACGCCACATACTTTCCAAATACAGCACTGCCAGAAATCTGGAAATCTGATTTTATAACCCTCATGATTTTGGTTGCTGGAGCTGCAGATACTTTTGGTGTGGATTGCACCCAGCTAAACGAATGGGCCTGTCACGCCAGTTAGAGAGAGTGTCCTTCTCTCCCTCTCTCAATGGAATGCTCATCAGTGCTGTGGCCGTTCTGTTGTGTGTTTGTGTGTAAACAAAAAGAAAGATGCACACCTTTAACTTATTTACCAGATGCTCAGGAAGGGGGAAAAAACAACCAGCTTTATCTTTGCAGAGTGGTTTTGTTCGAAGCCTGTGTAGCAGTGAATGAGGGCCGCTTTAACCAAGAATATTATACATTTCTCTTGTTGGTTTTATCTAAACCATATTACATGGACATAACAGAAACCTACACACACAGCCTTAGCTGACAGTGTAAAGTGCTAATTTAGTCTGTCCTAATATAACAGGGGTTTCACTCTATATTGTCATCAACAGCTTATGGCAAAGTGACGTGTCTGCTAGTCAGAGTTGTGCGATAAAGTGAGTCATAGTAGATCATTACAACTATGACCTCTAACCTTGGTCCCCTAGGAACGGAAGGAGAGGAGGCGGGGTTGGGAGGGGGTGGGGGTTGTTTAGAAGTGGTCCCTAGAGAGAGGGTCTGATACTAACTTGGCCCTAAAGCGAGCCCCTGTGGGGTGAGAAACACTGGCTGACTCAGAGTACCGGAACCAAGTGGAGTTGGATCGGGGAGCAAGGTGGGAGGCAACATTCAGGAGCACGCCCCATGTGTCCCCCACCCTGGGAGCAGTATTTCCACCCAACCCAATGAAAGGTTTATAGACTGCAGCTATAAAGGCAAACCACTAAATCTAACACTGTTTTAACATAGGCGTTTTCTTCCAACCCCCTCTCCCTCTCTCCTCCTCCCTCTCTTCTGACCTAACAGTGTTGGCAGTGATGGGGGGGGGGGGGGGGGGGGGGGGGGGGGGTAAGGTTTTACTGTTTAATGTTTAGTTGATTTTCATCAAATGTTCATTAACTGTGCCAGTGAAGTGACTCCCTTCTGAAGTCCATTAAAATGGTGCGCTGAGAGGAAGGCAGAGGGGGGAGGGGGGATTGGGGGGGGGGGGGCAGGAAGGGTGGGAAGGGTGGGAAGGCAGGCAGAAAGGCAGGGAGGCAGGGAGGCAGGGAGGCAGGGAGGCAGGGAGGCAGGGAGGCAGGGAGGCAGGGAGGCAGGGAGGCAGGGAGGCAGGCAGGCAGAAAGGCAGGGAGGCAGGCGGGTGGTGCTACTGGTAGGGCTATAGGAGACCATGTGCTGAGCTGAGTTCTGTAGTTGGGGTCTACATTACAGAAATGGAAACCAGATGGGAACTCTGGGGGGAACGGATGGAAGGTAAAATAAAATAACACGTGTAGGCCAGGGGATTGAAACTGATGTGTGGACGGGGACTGCTCTGGCAAAAAAAATGACTGCCTATTGCATCACCCAGGTGGGTGCTGGGTAAGAGTAGGTATTAGGTCATCTTTCTATCTGTTGCACAATAAGTCAATAGACACAATGGCAAAATATCGGGAAATTAGTGAAAGTCATTATCTTAGGACTTAGGGATAAGAAATTTCACCATTTCTACTGTCAGCACTTTGGAAATGTAACTCCTGTACTATTAAACGATAGATGTACGTGAGTTTAAAGCATATATTTGTTAAAATGTACGTTCCCCCCCCCCCCCCCCCCCCTCCAAGAAAAAGTAAAAGCCTTCCAGAAAAGTATTTCTATAGCTGACTAAAAACACAACCATGTTGGGTTGCTCTCTGCAAGCGTGTCTGAGTTTGAAACCAACATTCCATGGTTCCAATGTGCGCTCGTATAAAAAACATTATATTTAGAGCTTGAGATGACTTGTGTTCCGTTCCAAACCCTGTCTAATGCAAACACAGTTGTGGGCAAACAACCAACCTTACAATCACAACCTTTCCGTCTCTCTCTCTTTTATTTCCTCCTCTCTCTTTCTATGTGAATAGGGATAGAAGATACAGACTTGGGTGTCTAACGCTGAATCTAGGCGGGGCACTCAAGATCTGGGGAGGGAGTAATTTCCCCCTCCGTAGAGGTAACAGAGAGAGGGGCCAAGAGATGATAGAGAGAGAAAGCGGCGGGAAGATGAAGAAAGAGAGAGGGGTCGCGAGGATAGACGGATAGGGAGTCCTGAAATATTTCTTTTATTTCCCTCTCTCTTCTCTTTCCCCCACCACCACCCGAGGTCTCTCTCTCTCTCTCTCTCTCTCTCTCTCTCTCTCTCTCTCTCTCTCTCTCTTCTCTATCTCTCTTCTCTCTCTCTCTCTTTCTCTTTCCTCTCTCTCTCATTATCTACTCCACCAGTGTGGCTACAGTATTTATTACATCTGTCTCTTTTCAAACTATTCCAAGTCACTCCTTTTAGGCTTAGTGACTGCACTACTTTTCCAAGAACAATACAAGTATTAAGATATTAATTCTAACCTTCATGCCCGTGCTGTCTTGGACATACGATATGTTTGGTTTTTGCCATCGCATCCTGCCATTATCTGTCCCTATGAATTAAATATGAGCAATAATCCCCTGTTTGTCACTGACAGTGTTGTTTGTGTTAGTGTTCATTCATTTCTCTAACAGAACTATTCCAGTGAGGGTTTTCCCAGTGGTGCCTAAAACACAACAGAAGAAGAATATGAGTCAGAGATGACAAAGGAAGGTAGCCAAAAAAACACAGGGGGATAATGTGTCTGAACATGTGCAATATGTAACCGGTGTGTATGTGTGTTTATTTATCTTTATTAATTAAAGCAGCTGTACACCTCGTGTCTCGCTGATGGCCAATTGGCGTGTCTGTCTGCTAGCTCGCAGGCTGTCATGTCTCAAATCGCACAGTAAACAAACTCACAGCACAGACACTCTTCAAATCCCTCACACACCGACACACAACTCAGGTTGTTAGTTTTCTTTCTCTTTCTGTCCCCCCCCCCCCCCCCCCTCTACTTATCCACCCACTCTCTCTTTCTCTCTCTCTCATTTAAACGAACTATTCCCAGGGGTTAACTTTTACCTCAGCCTTCATTCCCAGGGATCTGTGCAACGCCATGTACTGGAGGAAAACATCTTGCTGTGTTTTCCTAGTCCTCCCCAGAGACCTTATAACATCTGTATAGATGTAACTACCCTGGACCCTGCTGTGATTCTATACACCATTGCAGGCCATTACACCACACTTACACTGACCCTTTCAAAACACATTGCCAGGCTCCAGTTGTGTTTATCATAGTAGGTGTAAATGCTTCATCTAGGCATTCAATGTTATAGAGTTAGCTTTTAACCTAGTCATGTTTGTTTTTGGCAGCTAATTTATGTGGGAGAAGTTTGTAGCTCTGCTACTTTTTGACACCTTGACATCCTTAGTGTGATTTGAATGTTTTTAAGCACACATTGTGAAGTCAGCTGGACAAGTGTTGGATAATTGGAACAACCAAAGTGTTTTCTCACGATAAATACACATAATTTATTTACAAATAAAGTGGTTATAATAGAAATAAATACAAAATAAACATCTGAGCATTATACTTCATGTGGTATTGCACCCAATTCGAAATGTACATCAGAAATACATTTTCAAAACCAGTAAAGGATTATTCCTCCAAGTAAAATATGTATTTTTCCCAACTTTAAGTAGACATAAATATATTCATATATAGTTGTTATTTCTTCTTCTCCCAAAATAGCTCTGTTTGTGTCTTTTCTTTCATATAAATAAAACATCTTCATTGGGAAACTGGGTGTCCATATAACCTCACACTCTCTGTCTTTCTCAGTCACCATCCCGTCATCCCATCTCTCTCTCTCTCTCGCTCTCTCTCTCTCTGTGTGTCTCAACGGCAGCCACATCCCTCCACCACCATATCCTGGTAGTTTTTGAGGATTACCTTCTCATACTCATCCAGATAGAGCAAAGATATGGGGCTGAGCTCTGTGGGCACGCAGCACGCCCGGGGGATGTTGGAGTTCACAGAGTTGACCAAAGTCTGAACGATGGCGTGGTTGGTAGAGTTGAGGTGGTCGGCCAATGGGAAGGGGCATACCCCGTGGCAGTAGAAGGCGTGGTAGCCAGGGGGCGCCACAATCCACTCGTTCCAGCCCACTTCGCTGAAGTCCACGTCGAGTTCGTGTCTGCGGCAGTTGGCCTTGTGTTGATGCTTCCTCCTCTGTTTCCTGTGGCCTGCTGCCTGTCTCTTGTCCCTGTGCAGCACCGCGTTCCCCCGCCCGTCATGACTGTAGGTCACCAGCAGGGGTCGAGCCTGGGGCCATGAGTCCTGGTCCTCGTGGAGGGAGCGGCTCACCCTGACGTGCCTGCTCTGTCTCTGGGCCTCCTCGCCCCCCTGGGTGTCTGGGTGGAACACCTCCACCATGAAGCCGTGGTTGTGGCGCCCCCCAGAGGCCCACTGGGACACGGCGGGGCTGACGTCGAAGCTTTCCCAGCGGCTCAGAGAGTCCTGCACCAGCCGAGTGTCCAGGAGGCGCGTCAGGGGTTCCCCACGGGGAGATGCAGGGGCTCCAAACACCTCGTACACGTTGACACGATGGATGCCACCAGCACTGGTACTGGTATTGGTACTTGAGCTGTTACTTCTGTTGTAACTGGTGTTACTGGTGGGAGCTGCTGTGGCCCCCAGGACCTGGTCCCTGTAGACCCGGAGCTCTGCAGAGGTGATGAGCTCTTCTCCAGGGATAGAGGTGAGATTGAAGAAGAACTGCTGGGTGGTCCTGCCCTTCAGACTTGCCAGAGCCTCCATGGACTCTATAAGAGAGAAGGAGAAGAAGAGAGTAAGGGTCAGTGGATGATGTTGACATAGAAATTCATGGCTAACCTCAGGACTGTTTTTTTTTTACTATAAAGGTTGTGTTGGTAAAGGTTGTCGAGTAACTCCATGATTGACCAAGATGTACAGTCCTAACAAACGGGTTTTCTTTCCATAGCTCACTAGAACACACACACAAGAAAAAAAACATCCTTCCCTCCCAGTCTTCCACGACTAGCTGTGTGTGGGTATAGATCGTTGTCGTCGTCCATGTCATCATACACACACTCACTAACTCCAAGAGCATGAGTCAACGTAAAGGGAACTGCTTACAGTTATGACCCTCCAGCTGCTATATTGCCAGGTTCACATATTTCACCAGAGTAAATGTCATGACATCAAAGCAGTGGCGTTCCCATGTATTGATAAGATCTAGCAGGAAGCAGTGATAGCCTCTAACCATTATGCATGCAAGGCCACTAAATGCCATAGAGAATGTTCTGCCCTTTAGGATTTGGTTGCCACGATGGAGTCCTGTTATTATTGGATGTGTGGAAAAAGCCATTGTCGTCCATCATGGAATCATCAAAGCTAGATTATTATGACATAATGAAAGGCCATTGGGAAGTATATCTCATTTATCTTAGAGTGTGTTCGTAAATTCAATCTGAAGTGCCAGAGTACGCTCAGAGTGCGCTCTGGGCGTTTGTAAATTCAGAGTGTTGTCAGATTGTCCGTTCGTAAATTGAGAGCGTTTCACTCTCGGAGCGTTCAGAGCGCCCACTGGACGCTCTGGCCCGAGGAGTCGGGTTGATCCGATCGTTCTGACCTCACAATGGCAGTCAAGCACCCAAGCTAACTGGCTAACGTTGGCTAGCTTGCTAGCTACTTCCAGACACAAATGAGAGAACTGCTCACCCTTAATGTTTTTCACACCTTTTTTGTAGCAGTCTATAGCTAAACATGTTTTTCCTCTGTGCATATTTGGCTTGATTGAGAATGCATTATTACATTAGTGTGTAAAACAATGTCACATACATGTCAATGTCAACACTTTTATTTTCTTGATCGTAGTCAAACTTTGTACATTTACCTTTATGTGTTTTACAGATGGTACAAAGACAAGCTTGTTATCTGTTTGGAGTGGTAAAATAAACACCAACTTTGAACTCAGGGCTTTTTCAAAGGAGGCATTTAGGAAATTCCACCCTCTCATCCTAAATCTCCCTGCAGAAGCACAAAGACCTCAATTAGGCCTATCACTCCTTATTGATGTGGGAAAACCCCTTCTGTCTACTTCTCTCATTCAAATCCCTCTCTCCTTCTCTCTTTTGGTCCACTCACTCCAAAATGCCTTGCTCCCCTCTCTCTCTTTAGCCCCAAATCTCTCTCTCTCTTCTGTCCCCCCCCCCCCCCTCCTCCTCCCTCTCTCTCTCTCTATCTTTCTCTCTCCAGATCTCTGCTCTGTGAGTGAAGGAGGTGCTGGGCTGTGTGTGAACAACATGTCATGGCTTGTCCAAGAGTTGTGAACCACAGATATGAGTGTATCAACATTCCTAATTTATTTTCTTGCTGTGTGCCAAAACAAAAGATAACGGCTAATGTTAGGTCATTCATCTCTGCCTGTCTCTGGCAGCCGGTGCCTGTGCTTGGCCTGGAAATGTTATTTTTGGCAAAGAAAATAGTTATTTTTGAAAACCAATATCACAAAAATGAATTATCCCTCTGAAATTAATATCAAGGAACAGATGTGATGCATCGATAGGGCTTCAGGATTTGACATGATGTTTTACGTGTGTAGCTACATGTCTATTACACGTATATGACCCCCACTCTTCCCACTTCTACCATAGGAACAATTTAAATATCCAGAACCATGCTACGCTGGCACACATGATGAAAAGACAAGAGGAGGCAAGGGGGATAAACAACTAAACATGGCTGAAATGTATTCCAAACTGCGAAACTGAAGGTGCGGAGTCAAGCGGCAGTTTACAGTTGTGGAGTGAGTAGTCTCAGTCCTAGTCACCATGCCAGCCAGTGTGGTGTTTTAGTGTGTCTGTGGTGTTTGTAGTGTGTCAATGGTGTTTGTACGGCGTCTGTAGTGTTTGTAGTGTGTCAGTGGTGTTTGTAGGGTGTCCGTGGTGTTTGTAGTGTGTCAGTGGTGTTTGTAGGGTGTCTGTGGTGTTTGTAGTGTGTCAGTGGTGTTTGTAGTGTGTCAGTGGCGTTTGTAGTTTGTCAGTGTGTCCACTGGGTGTCATCCCTACCAGGCCTCAGGAGAGGAGAACACCCAATCAACCACCCATCATGACTCAACCACCCCAACGAGTCATTCACTGTGTGGAAACTTCCCATGCAGTCAAACACTCAGGAGTCTGTGTAAAAGGCCATCCACGGATGCATTGGGCATGTCCTGTACAATACTGGAGGTAGCGCAAACTAAATTATAGGCCGTATTCATTCTCAAGACAGGTACTATCAGATAGACAGTACAGATGCATGAGGGGCGATGGTTTTCAAGCAATGAGAGACTAAGGTTTACATGTTTCTATATTTACTGTTTTGGTCTGTTTTGTTGCAGCACTGTAAATGAAATGCCCAGACTAGAGGGTTAGACATACTGTCAGCACATGCATACCTCTCTACCCACTGTTACTTTACACTATAGTACAGGTACATTCAGACATACACAACACCAAATCAAAAAATATTGCCAAAGTTCCTTGAACATCATGACACCTAAAGCAAATGTCCCTTTGTGCCTCCAGTTCAACTCTTGGATCAAGTATCTCATATTATATTTTTGCATTTAGACCAATTGGCCCTTACTGAAATAATCATCTGGTTGGCATGCGTTTCTGAGGTATATAAATGCATGGTTTTGATGTGAAATCTCGCAGTCAGCGACGCATATGTAGCTATATAATAAGTATGTAATTATGGGGTTCTATTATTGGAACGTGCATATTTACGCATAAAGAGCGATTGGAAAAGGATAAAGTGCACCCCCAAAACCAGAATGACTAACTGACTGACTTTTCAGTCCTGTCTAAAAATGAGACGGAGCTCAATCTGCCGCAGTGGCCTCTATCATAATGCGTGTGTAGACAGTGTAGTGTAATGTCATGTGTTATTGAAGTAGCAGCAGGGCGATGACTATCACCTGCGCACGCACACTCCCTTTATGCCTCCGCTGCGTTACGTGTCTGGAAAAACTGTTTTCAGGGCCCATGAAAACACCATAAATTATTAAGAAACAAATGACCCTTGGGATACCACCAACCTTGATGTTTTGATGCCTGTTATATCACAGTCAATGGAATGTTCCGGGTAACGGGTTGCATCAACTCATATTTGAGGGATTACTTTGCATTTCAACGTTACACATCAACCACTTCTCTGTCGAACCCTGACAATGAGTTTAACTCGTTAAATTGTTAAATTACACTTGCTATTATAAAATGATCTACTTATAACAGGGATTTGTCCCTGACGCGTGTCACACTGTTAGGATATGAGTGGGCCTGTCATAAAAAGTGTAATTGCTCTGAAAATCCTCCTCACACCCTGAGTCATGTTTAAATACAGGTTTGACATGTCTGAGGGAGCAGAGGTGCTCTACCTCGCCAGGTGAAATATGCCACTAATACGTACCTTCATGGTGAAAGCTTCTAATCGTGTTGGCCTTGCTGGCGGCTCTCTCTGCGTGTCTCCCCATGCTCCGGGGCCGTTTAGTGCTGTGGTCTCCGTTCACCGAGTGCATATGGTACAGGTCCACCATGTACTGGGGCACCACAGCCTGCCTGCTCGGGTTTGGCCTCCGTTTAAGTCCGAACATATTGAGGAGCCGCAACTCGAACTCGTTAAGAAAGTTCTCAGACTGCTCCGGGCTCTGCTTCCCGGACTCGCTGTACTTCCTCCGGCCGACCTCGGGGATAAGTCCCGCCGCGCCTCCTAGCAACACCTGAGCCAGCAGCAGTACCATGAGAGAACGAAACACGGCGACCATGGTCAGTCAGTCCCTGTGAGGAGAGGAGAGCAGCTTCTGTCAATACACAGGCGCCGTCGCCGAAACAGAGCACACAGGCAGCTATCGACAGTCGAGACATCAGCGGATTACTGTAAAATGACCCCCAGCTCAGATGCGATAAACTGTTTCTTCTTCCATACAATAGGAACGATTATTAAAGGCAAATGAGGTTAAAAGTAATGACACGTCACTATAAAGTAAAGAACAGAAAGGTTGTGAATAACATCCCTGCAGACTATGCTAAGTGAAATGGGAGATTGATCTTTTAACATTATAGAGGCAAAACTAAAACACCAGAATATCAAGGTGATGAAGTTATTAAAGAGAATTGTCTAACAAAAAGGGGGATGGTACAGGAAAGGAGAAAATCAAAGAAACTAGAAGAAGAGAGAGAGAAGACGGCAGACAAAAAGTCTGCCTTTACAGAAGCAATAAGAGGATGTGTTTGGTGGATGTTTATAAAAGAAATACAACAAAGCCCTAAGAATACACAAAGTATGAAAGAATGCAATCATCAAAAAGGTTAATAGAGACAGTCGTTGCAGCGCTACAATAGTCTATTTGGTGAGGCTTTGACTGCTATATAGAGTTACTTCAACGGGTTCGCAGGTGTGAGATCTGACGTGCGTATACTGGCCAGGCATACTCCACTGCGCAGACAAAAACATCAAAAACACCTAGATCTAAATCAAAAAGTACATGTCCTTAGAATACTACCAGTAGATATTAATTTGAGTGTGTATGTTTTGGAATTTGTGTTAACTTTCACCCCAAAATACAGGCCTACAAAATGGAAAAAAAGTGCATCATATGTGACACCAGTTATTGTTAATTAAGTGTGTTTTCTTGAATAGAATTGGGAAATCTCGAGACGGATATTAAATCCAGAATACTCAGTGGATATATGTAGCCTAGTCCATGAGCGTTGTGCAACTTTGCCCTAAATATTAAAGTTGTCATTGACTTCAATAATGAGTACCTGACTTGTTTTTACCTGATAAGGAAGCGCTGTGTCCAGTCGTCCTTCCAGCTTTGGGCTCCAATAAATTCCACATTAATTCGTGTTTATTCCACGCTTTCCCTCTGCGGACGAAAGACAACTCGTGCACTGCTCTGATCGCCTCCTCTCGCACATATCTCCGCTGCTGGGAATCTGGAGACTTCTTGGTCAATAGATTTTTTTGTTGTTGCCTACGTTCTATCTAAGCGGACTTGTGTAGGCAGGACCCATCTAAGTAAGTATAAAGATGCGCCATTAAACATCTTCAAATGCTAACTTTAGGATCAAGTTTAGCAGAGAGCGGGTGTAGAAGATTAAACTGTACTCTGTCCGTCGCTCCTTGTACTCTGTGTCTGTGGGTTGGGGAGCGTCACCTCTCTCTCCTGTGCGCAGCACACTGTAGCAGTCCAATTGATTGGTGCCTTCTCTTCCCTGGACGAGGCTTTTTGTCGTCTAGTGATGTCACCAACGCAGAGCTGTCATTCATGTCGATTCCAAAGCACCTCCTGTGCCTTTTCAACCAGTCACCAACAGTAGCCTGCTCAAACTCGCGCTATGTTTTGGCTGTTACAAAATGACTAAAATATGAGACTTTCTTTGACAATATACTTTTATTCGTTTGTGTGATATAACATTGTTAATTTTGAAAGCATCAACATATATAACTTTAGGTTTAAAATACTAATTGTTCTGCATTCTTCTCGTGTTCTTTCTCAATTTATGCAGAGCCAGACAACATTTTTACAAGTATGTCATTGTTGATCATAAAAAATCCAATTTTTAGAATTGTAATAAACTGCAACATTTTTTTAACAATTTTTTTTTTCAACAGTTTCAGTTTCAGCAACAGTTTCAAAACTAATGAGAGCGATTGCGCCGTGTGGATAGACTATCTCAATCCAACACACACACACACACACACACACACACACACACACACACACACACACACACACAAACACACAAACACACACACACACACACGTTTGTTTTACTATCCTTGTGGGGACCAACAAAATGTCCCCACGAATTTACCCTGTTTTACTATCCTTGTGAGGACTCCTTGCCCCCACAAGGATAGTAAAAACAAACACACTAACACACACACACACACACACACACACACACACACACACACACACACACACACACACACACACACACACACACACACACACACACACACATCAAACATCAAACATTTTAAACCTTGCTCAGCAGCATAGGGAAAAATATAATATAATTGTATGTTTTAAATTGGCCCAGTACTACCCAAGTGCACATTTGTTTAAACTGCCCATGTAGGCCTACTGTACTCAATTATAAATACAGTGTGTGTCTTAGATCCCTGTGGGTGATTGATCAAGATGTGTTCATTCCTGGATTAAGCATGTTTTACTATTGGATTAAAACAAATTGACAATGAGCTGGCAAATGTGTTGTTTTAGGTAGATTAGGGAGATTAGGGGCTGTAGTGACTGTCCTATCCTCCCCTCTCAGCGCTGACCTCTGAACTTCACCCCTAACTGGTGTCCCTCCTGTCCTATCCTTTGTCCTGGGAAAAGGGTCAAGACAAATATTGACCAAGTCCATAGTCTTCTCCAGGCTGAACCCAGTCAGTTTGAAAATATTAATTGATTGCCTGAGAAAACAAACTGTAGCTGTGTTTTAGTCTAGTCCAGTCAAGCTCAGGTTGAATCTCGAAACACTGTGTTTATTGATTCTTTACACAAGTTTTCACTACTTAATTTCTGAGTAGTTGTTTCTCCCATCACGTGTTCCAAGAAGGTCCTCCATTTCTCAGAGAGTGGATATTGTCAGTTAACAGCCTCCAGGAGCATAGTACAGCTAGGGGGAAGAGAAGCTGGGGTCCATTGTTGATAGGTGTTGTTGGCTATACACAAGCCTATAGGCTTTACTCAACAGCTCTGATGTTAGAGACATCTCCATATGAAAACCCCTCATTGATTACAGCTAGTTATTTCCATTAAGTGATGATGGTAGGGCAGAGGGTTGTGTTGTGACCAAAGCAACGGGCTGTTTTGTTTGCTGAGATAGCAAAAGATTAAACCCCATTGAGATCAGAAGATATCTTCTAGGACAATAACATTTTATAAGGGATAATCCGCCTAAATCATCTACTTAGCAATTAAAATACAGTAGGGGCTGAGGGAGCATACATAACTTCCAAATTCTCTAAAACGACATTGGAGGCGGCTTATGGTAGAGAAATGAACATTCAATTCTCTGGCAACAGCTCTGTTGGACATTCCTGTAGTCAGCATGCCAATTGCATGCTCCCTCAAAACATGAGACAACTTTTTCGATTGGTCTTTTATTGTGCCCAGCACAATGTGTAATGATCATGCTGTTTAATCAGCTTCTTGACATGCCACACCTGTCAGGTGGATGGATTATCTTGGCAAATTAGAAATGCTCACTAACAAGGATGTAATGTGCACAAAATTTGAGAGAAATAAGCTTTTTGTGCGTATGGAAAATGTATGGGATCTTTTATTTCAGCTCATGAAAAATGGGACTAACACTTTACATGTTGCGTTTATATTTTTGTTCTGTATACAAACGTTCACATCGGACACTGCCGGCAAAGCACATTTTTTCATTTGGGGACTAACACATTAATTAATTCATTCATTAATTCCAACATTAATTCAGTCATTCATACATTCATTCACTCACAAGAACACACCACCTGGATATGTCATAACACACCTAATAAGGTGGCAGGTAGTTTAGTGGTTAAGAGTGTTGTGCCAGTAACCGAAAGGTCGCTGGTTCTAATCCCTGAGCTGACTTGGTGAAAAATCTGTCGATGTGCCCTTGAGCAAGGCACTTAACCCTAATTGCTCCTGTAAGTCTCTCTGGATAAGAGCGTCTGCTAAATGACAAATTATGTATTTATAATATAAGTGATATAAAACAAACTACATTTTCTAAAAAAAAATGTTCCCCTGAGTGCCACAGTTGGGTCCCTACCGTTGCCAAAACAGCACTCTGTGGTGCTCTAAACTGCCAGGCAAAAGCTGCTAGTATTCAGATGCTTTAGATCAGGGATGGGTAACTTTGATAGGGGAGGGTCACAAAAAACCTAGAGAAAATATTGCAGTTTTAAAGCAAGTTTGCTGCAATTCTACACATTTTAGCATGGGGCGTAGAGAAGATTTTGCAATTTTATAACTCAAATCATGCAATTCTACTCATTTTACTATGGGGCAGAGAGAAATGTTAGCAGTTTTTAATATGATATCTGAGTGAGACTGACTTTCAAAATAAATGGGGGTCCCCTGGCCGGTAATTCGACCATGATAACAAGTTTAGATAGCTGGCCTCTAAACTAACTTAACAATCAAAAACATTTTAGCTGACATACTGTATGGGGGCCAAAGGGGGGCCGTGGGCCGCATGCCACCAGTTGCCCATCCCTGCTTTAGATGGAAGGATAAGGTGGTGACCTATGACTATATCTTTAATTACCCAATGAGAAGATTAGAAGGGGAGAAAGAGAGGATTTATCTGATCCCTGCTTTCTGTGTACATACCTGTGTTTGTGTGTGTGTGTGTTTGTGTTGGCACAGCTTGTGACAGGTAGAGAGGAATGTGGCCATCACCCCAGCAGGCTCCCCTGAGGGACGTGATCAGTGCTGTCCCCTCCTCTCAATCCAGCAGACCACATGGATCTCTGGGTTCTGGAGTCACTCTGACCTTCATTCACTGATATCATTATCTGCGAAGAAAGTATTCTTCTACTGGGGTTATCTAGAATAAGTAGATGATCCAATTATTTTGTTGATTGTAAATAACATTTAACAGTAAACTCCACAAGGCTGGTTGGGAGATAACATATCAACATGCTTAAATGATCGACCCACTGGTGATCAGGCCCAGAGGTTACCCAATTACAGACCCTGGCTATGAAACGCTTGCCGAATTCAAGAATAGGGGTTTTGGAAGTCATAAATGTATGTTATGACCCCACAGTAGCTACCACCCTGCATCCCACTGCTGGCTTGTCTTCAAAGCTAAGCAGGTCTGGTCCTGATCAGTCCCTGGAAGGGAGACCAGATGCAGCTGGAAGTGGTGTTGGAGGGCCAGTAGGAGGCACTGTTTCCTCTAGTCTAAAACAATTCCCCAATTCCCCAGGGCAGTGAATTGGGACATTGCCCTGTGTAGGGTGCTGTCTTTTGGATGCGATGTTAAACGGATGTCCTGACTCTCTGTGGTCATTAATGATCCCATGGCACTTATCTTGAGAGCAGTTGTGTTAACCCCTGTTTCCTGGCTAAATTCCCAATCTGGCCGTCATGGCCGCTTAATCATCCCCAGCTTCCAACTGTCTCATTCATCCCCCTCCTCTCCCTGTAACTATTCCCCAGGCTGTTGTTGTAAATGAGATTGTGTTCTCAGTCAACTTACCTGGAAAAATAAGGGTATAAATAAAAATGACAGCCCTTGGCATGAGTGTCCTAAGTGTTGGGGTTAATCTCTCACATTTTGGTTTTGATACTGGCAGAGAGGGTCATATCTACAGGACATATCTAAAGGCACATATTTAGTTTCTCAGTCTGTTGGACCTGTCCTCTACCAACCGTGACTGACCTGTCGGTCTCTCTATGATGTACTGACCCATGCCATTTGAAATAATTCTGCCTGTGTGATCATGGTGAGCATTGAGAGAGGACACACACAGGGGGCTAGTTCAGCTTTGTCGCAGACCAACTTCATGCTCGGGGTCATATTGTCGTCACACCAAACTCACACTGACCTTAGTTCACGTCATCCGTGACATTTGGTGATGGTTGACGTGAACTTAGGTCAATTGTCCACTTTTAAATCAAATCAAATGTTATTCTTCACAAGCTTCGTAAACAACAGGTGTAGACTAACAGTGAATGCTTACTTACGGGCCCTTCCCAACAATGCAGAAAGAAAGAAAATAGAGAAATAATAGAAAAGTAAAACACGTAATAATAAAAGTAATAATAAATACACAATGAGTTATGATAACTTGCCTATATACAAGGGGTACCAGTATCGAGTTGATTTAAGACCGGTGGTGGACGTCATGTTTATCTATAGTTTGGTGCTCCATCTTTCATAGCGGGACAGGTATGCTAGACAAAATGTATATTCTTCAGTAGCGTTTGATTACGTTTGAAAAACATCATAAACCCTAACCTTGTATTGTGCTGTACAAAGGTATTGTACACATATCATTATTGAAACCCCCTCAGCATTTGGCTAATCCTCTCCTCTCTCTTGTCATCAGTACATTCCAGCGGTCAGGAGGAACTAAAGCCCTGAGATGACACGGCAGATCCAGCCATTAGCCCTTCACCTGCTGTTAACAGCCCCTTGGCTGGACACAGGGCCCACATTCCACTGTGTAGACAGAGATGTAGCCTTAACAC